TGGTGACGCGAGATAAAAAGTACCGGGATCAGTGGTGTCTAAAGCCTGAGGGTGGTAAAAGGTGGTGTCGGGAGCTTTTTGCTATTCTTATTTCACAATGTGATTTATATCGTTAATAGTCATGAATTCCACCAGTAAACCAAACGAGGGTCGCGATTACGTTCAGCAAAACTAATAATACAGGATTTAAGAATCCATATCCCAGCGATTTTGCGGTTTTGATGCGCATGATTATTCGTTACCCAGTCGTTAGAAGAGTATATGATCAGTGACCATATCATTCACGTGACCTTGAGCCTAAAATATGAATTACCCACCTACTGTATGCATAACTAAGCTAATTAGAATTGTAGCTAGCTGTACTGTGATATTACGAGTATTTTCTTGACTAATTTGCTACGATAAATAATTAATATCATTATCATCTAATGGTGAGTTAGTATCAGAGTTTACGCCTAGCCTCATACTGATTTAAACAATGACTGTTGGTTGTTTAGGGAGCTTAGTTTATGGAGTTAGTACCGATTTCAGTTCCTCAAAAGAAATTTTTTAACACTGGAAAAAGAATTTAACACTGAAATAAAAAATGAGCGAAATGTTCAAACCACAGCAGATTAATTATTCAAATTATTATGTAGCTGCAAATTAATTTTGTAGCTTCACAGGTAGAAATTGTGCGCAATTAACTGTAGTATTAGCTGCAAATAAACGTGGAGGAATAGAAGTTAACAACAGTAATTTCAAAAGAGCGCAACTAGAAAGTGCAACCAAAGCGTTTTCGTAAACTGGTTTTCCACTCCTTGTGGAACCCAATTAGCAACAATGGATCAACTATTGTTTCCACATAGAAAAAGAAGTAGGAGATCTGCATGAAAGTAATGATGGTAATGTTGGGTGTCAATGAAAATGTGGTCATGCTGAAAGATATCGTAATGGGAATCCAGAAAACTATCGTCGACAAGGTTAGGATAAAATAAATCACAAACGCACTCCGCTGTTCTCGTCTTCGGCCCGGTGCGTTTGCGCCAGTAATAGCACTTTGATTGTCCAGGGAGAACTCCCCGGTTCCCGCTGGACGAACTGATCTCCCGTTTGAGTTCGACACCGGTCGTTTGTGGCTCTTAAACCAAACCACGGGAAAGGTCACCAGTATCGTCGTCATAGGTAATATCATGTACAAAACCATAGATATTGAAGCTAGTGTGTGGATGGGTCGGCCGTCCATGAAGCATCTGCCAGCCAACTTGTCAACCGGCATCCTGTAATACAATGCGTCCAAGATGACCTCCGCGGTAAGAATCGTATTGGAATACAGCCATGCGATAACGCAGAGAAACATGGCTAATTTTATAGTGTGCCGTGTGCGATAGTTATGCGGACGAAGAACAGCCCACAGTCGATTCAAAGTAATCAGCAGATGTGACAAAATTACCACGGCCAACGACGTAAGCTGAGTATAGAGAAACAGTGTGCAGCATGTGGGACTGTAGCGCACCGATGGAATGATCTTCATTAGGAACAACAGCAACGGACCCGGCAAATCGTGGTAAATGTTGGCCAACAGAATGTTAACAAGATAGACGTTGAAAGCGGATATCGGGATTCTTGCTACAATAATTAATAATAAAACAATTACATTTAGAAATGTCCCGACGGAGAATCCAAACAGATCTGAGATTAAAGAGAAGTTCCACGCAATTACCGGAAAGGAAGCGGTATTTAAGGAAACATTCTGAGAAGTGTTAGCCATTTTCAGCCAAAAAATTAAATGACTTCTAATCGCGGTACAGAATACTGATCTACTTGCACTGCTTCTATAAAGTAGTAGCCGCTTTTCTGCATAGGTAGGTAAATTGTTGCTGACCCTTGCGAGTTCATATTTTGCCAAGACATCGAAATTCTTACAAATGTTCTAGTTAGTCAATTTTCTGTCGCAGAAATACGTATTTATTGATTAGTAAGATTACGTCGAAAAATTCCCCGGGGCAACGGGATAGCACACAAAGCCCTTCTTCCATAATAATGTAATACGCATGGACTTTCTTCCTTGTAATTTAATTCGCATGTGTTTGGTACGCTAAATCCCACGGTCACATGCCTCCTGTACCGTAAGCAGCTTTGATATCGATGAGCCATGGGACCTTATGAATTCTGGATAATTATAATTATTCAAAGACTCAAATGACATAGTAGTATAATGTCCAAGAAGAAGATACGACAAAATTATACTACATGTAGTATTTCTCAGCCGCACTTGCGGTCTTCTTGAAATCTGACAACGTGAATCAAATTGCATTGGAATGGCTGTAATCAAGCAGTAACCGGTAACAACAAACATTCATCTTGAATTGAATTGGTTCCGGTTTGTAAAATGCTGCCAAGCTGTAGGGTTTTGACAAACAAATTTTACTCCCGGAAGCCGGAGGGAATTTCAAAGAATAAAACACAAACTTGGTTCGGCTGCTGTAATGTACTGGCACATACATACATATATAAGGTTAAATTATTTACATAAGTCTTTTGGAACCGTAACATATCTACAGATGCTGTGAAATTTAGGTTCTTTAAACTGTTCTTTAGGTTCCATTCAGTTGAGTGACTGCATTAACTGAACAAGTTGTGCGGATGCAGCAACCATCTCTTAGAAGATAAATTTTAGAACTGGAAACCTTAACTTTGTGGAAATACTAATAATGTTTTGTTCTCCCACAGTTAACATAACATTCCGCAAAGTTTTTAAACGACTCGGAGTTTCGAACTCAGTCTTGGGAATGGCGTTCAGATTTCGTATCTTCCATATGTCAGTGGAGCTGGCAAGATGACCTTTCGCAATGTTCAGTTAAATTTGAGTAGCTAGATGAACCTTTGTGAGCTTAAAGTAGAGTAGATGAAAGCTGAAATACCTACTTTAATTTATTTCGAAGCTGCCGCAGTCGTAATACTTTCCGCACTGGAGCAGCAAGAACAAAAACGAGCAGAAAAGGCGAACAGATTTATTACAAACAGGTTTATTGCTGCCCATTTATTACCAAGGTGAAATGACAAAACAATGCCACAGAAGTCGTCTGATGTGCAGCACCGGTCCATAAGCCAAGTATAGAACAACAACCAACAAAGTACTGCAACTAGACTAATAAATTACGTGAAAGCCTGCCAAGGCATTTTCACAAGGTGGGGTGTATAGGATCCTTAGCAAAACGCTTGCGCAAGCCATATTTCCATTCCTTATTGAAGCTAACGAGCAATATGGGATCAACGATCGTTTCCACATAGAACAGAAAATAAGAAAGTTGATAAAAGGTGATAATAGCAATATTGGGCGTCAATAAGAACGTTGTAATGCTCATAGCTGTCGTAATGGGAGTCCAGAAAACAACTGTCGACAAGGTTAAAATAAAATAAATTAAGAAAGCACTGCGCTGTTCGCGCTTTCTGCTCGATGGTAAGGAACCGACAGTGACACTTTGCTGATCCACAGAGTAGTCTCCAGTTCCGGCAGGACGAATCTTTTCACTGATTCTCGACTGCACGATCCTTTGGCTTTTAAACCAGACAACGGGAAAGGTCCCCAATATTGTCAACATTGGGAGAATGGCGTGCAAAAACAGCGCTAAAGATGTTAGTGCCTGAATAGGTCGACCGTTCATGAAGCATCTGCCTGCTAGTTTATCCACCGGCAACCTGTAGTACAGTGCGTCCAAGATGACCTCTGCGTTGAGAAATGTATTTGAGTACAGCCATGCCGTTACACAGAGAGCAGTTGCCATTTTCGTATTGTGCCGGGTGCGGTATGAATACGGAAGAACAACAGCCCAAAGCCGGTTTAATGTCACCAGCAAATGTGACGCAATGACCACAGCCAATGACGTGAGCTGGGTATAGAGGAAGAGTGTGCAGCATGTGGGACTGTTGCGTACCGATGGATAGATCTTCATTAAGAACAATAGCAGTGGACCCGGCAAATCATGGTAGATGTTGGCAATCAGAATATTAACGAGATAAACACTGAAAGCGGAAACCGGAATTTTTGCTATGATGACTAACAATAGCACGGTCACGTTTAGCAGAGTCCCGACGGAGAATCCAAACAGATCAGAGACCAAAGAAAAATCCCACACGATTATGGGCAATGAAGTTGTGTTCGTATAATTCTGGGTTGCGTTTAACATTTTATACCGCGGTAGGTAATGACAGTGCTGCAGGTACGCACGTATATGTGTGTATGGATCTTCCGATGATTATTCCGACATTTGTTTAGGTCACCATCGGTTAACCAGTTTTAATTTTGCTTGAAAACTGATTGTCGTGAACGAAAAATTAAGCACTGTATATCTTTTACTAAGCGCAAAATTCAGACAAACCCGTGCGCAAATAACATCGAATTTCTTTCAGGAATTTCCAGTAATAAGCAAGATGCTCGAGGGTTGTTAGTTCAACTTACTTCCACTAAGATGCCGTACTTTGAAATCATTCGTCCGGATGAAATGGATTGTTTCCGTGTAACTGATGCTACCCTGCAACGCGAACGCCCACAGTCACAAGACCCCCGCGGCCCGCCATCATGTCCTTCAAGCAACTTTGACGAGACGTCCCGTTTAAAATTTGTAATTTTCTTGATTTAAAATGAATCAAATACCATATAGTGCGCACCCTGGCCGAGATCCGTGTAAGCATAACAGTGTGCAGTTGCAACAAGACACTCCCTATAACGCCGTTTTGTGATTCAATAATATGTATGTACGAGTATCTTGCGTTTCAGCTGCTGATTCCGCATAACACCACCGGTTTTAATACTGTGATATACTTGGAGCTTATAAGTTATTTTACTGCTGAGTAGAGTTCCGTTTCTTACCTTTGTGGATCAGTTATTCTCGTACCTATTGACTGCAGAATTCCTAGTATCATTCTACCACTGTCAGAGGATTTGGAGATTGTAATTTGCAGCTGTCTGACGTCATTTGCAAAATCTCTTTATAAAGTATGCAGCGCTTCCACAGACATTCAGCTTTCAACTCGCTTCTCGGTTTTCAGTGGGAAATTTTTCGCCGCCAGGCGCGCGAAAATAAAGGTATCACTTTGCTTTTGCATTTCTTAGCTATTCATTTGCAGAATTAATCATGTGTAACAGCCGCGCCCCAAACCGTAAACGCAGAGCGCACTTGTAAGTTTATTTTCTCACTAAATGCGGCTAAACTAATCACCAAACGTTCGCTGCATTAGCGTAACAGTATATTCACAACAAATAAATGTGCAATTAAACAAAATACCATAAAAAATCAGAAAAGGTCACTGAGATCAACCGTGATTTCCGGAAGCGGGGAACATCGGTCGGGAGCGTCAGCAGTGCCTCCAGTTTCGGCCACAGAATGGCCATGAAAAGTTTGGATCCAAAGGCGTTCAGCTGTACTCCGTCCGTGAAAAGGGTTCTCCAGTCGGGATGCTCCATGATTTCCCCGTACAGATCCAAGAACTGCGTGGTGCGACTGACCGCCACATCCTGCACCGCCACCTTGTACTTGTACAGGGTGACATTGGATCGCCTGTTTTTACGACACTGTTCGGCTTGTGCTTCCTGATTACACGGAGTGGGAGCCACCAAAATTATCCGGTTAGCCGGAACACCATGCTTCTGAAAAATGAAGGGAAAAAGTGAAAGACTCGCATCTGATTGAATCGCCTTCAGATTTAATCATGCCAAAGTTCAAAAGTATTATTTCAGTCTTAACAAATAATAATAATAATAACTATACTATTATCATCTCACATTTTAATGCCCAGCCCAGCATACAGCGCTGACAAAGCGTTTTCAATGTTAACCAAAACATCAACTGATCATTCTAGAGAACGGGTGCTATTTGTATTCGTATGACTGCAATAAGCAATCGGAATAATTCGGAATAATTCGTTATTCCAATAATTCGGAATAATTCGTCATTCGGAATAATTCGTTATTCGTTCGTTATCCGGTTTCTGAATAATTCGTTATTCGATCATGCTTCGAACTAACCAGATAGAGATCCACGAAATCAGTAAGATTCTTGGAGTACTCTTCAACCGGAACCGGTCCGTTTTTATCGCTCTGTTGCGCATCATTCGTTCCAAACATTACCACCACCGCAGCGATATCCGGCGAGAATAAACTGGGCAGGAATCGGCAGAGAGTGCTCCGTACCGCATAGGTGGTATGACCCGCAAAGCCCCGATTCAAAATGTCAAATCGCCTGCAATAACAACGCTCGTATCATGTTATTATAAAATTAAAATGGCTCTTACTTTGCTAAATTAGAAACAATTAAGCTGCCGAAATCAATGGTGCCTTGTGTGATGCCAAGAAGAAATTTACACTTATTTATCCAAAATAAATTACAAGTAAACGCGGTAAGCCTTCCATAATTACAGTATATCGAAATTTAAATTCAACACCCATACTACACCTATTCCGCGCTCAAGCAACTGCAGCTAAAACTTTCCAGTTGTGCATCCTCCATACAAAAACGAAAACGAGCACCAAACAGCTTACTGTACAGTCTGTAAAATAATCAAAAAAGCTCCTGCAGTAACCTACAATCCGGCCGTAATATTCAAAAAAAGCTACAAACATGATAAATATTCAAATTCCAACAAAGAAACAGGAAAATTAATCAACGTTACTCGCATAATTAATAGGCAATTATCATAACTGATATAAATCAAAGTTAGAGATGATTGAATTATGTCTAACTTTAATTTGTATCACTTTGAATTTAAAAAAAATCTAGAGCGAATCTTCTTGCTGCTATAAGAAAAGAGAGAGAGAGAAGCGAGCGCGAAGAGAAGGAGAGCTAGAAGAGAGAGCTAAAAGTTCAATTAAACGGTTTAAAACTTTAAACCTGATAAAAACTAGGCCTGAATTACATTCATACCGTACATATGGCCGTTCCAACTGCGAAGCCAGAAGGCATCCAAGCCCGCCAGGACCCTGACAGTTCTGGAAATAATCATCACCAAACAACACAATCTGTGGCCAGATGAAACGCTCCTGGATTCCGGGTATAATTACAGCACTCTCCAGTCCAATAACCGACTGAACGACACCATCCGGCCGAACCATGTGCGGAAGCGCTTTCTTCGTAGTTTTCACCTTCTTTTGGCCCACTTGTTCCACAGGAATTCCCTTCTTCTTCGCAATTGTCTGCAAACAACCTGTCAGCATACACAGACAAGAACACTGACAGTAGCAGTATTTACCTCTCGTCGCTTCCGCTGCTGATATTTCTTCATAAAGATGTAGGTAGTAGATCGTGAGATGGAACGCAGTTTTTCGCTGTCAGGAAAGACAGCATTCACGGCGTCCAGCCAAGAGATTCCAGGATGTTTCCTGATATACTGGAATAGTGCCTCATCTTCCTCTTTGGTAACCTTGCTTTTCTTTCCCCGGGCGTGGGTGGTCAGGCGTTCGCCTGTTATCCGGTCGTAGTTTTTGAAAATGTTTACAACACACCCGACACCAATGCCCAACTCCGTAGCCACTTTCCGATAGCTTTTCACCACTTCGTGCCGTCGCACCACGGCAAGTACCAAATCTTTCGATAGCACATGCCCTCGCACCATAATGGTGATTGGTTCAATCACTTCAATGCACAGCAGATAACAAAACTATGGAGCCCAGAAAACGAAGGATAAAATTTAGAAAACAACATTAAAACACAAAACTTCGAAAAGTGAAAAGGCTCAGAAAAAGACAAGACATTCCGGGTCTGCACTCTACTGAGTATACAGTACGGCTTACGGCCGCGGGCGGTTAGCCAAAACTTAAATTTGTTTACGATTTTTTTTCGCTGCTTGTTAGCTGACTTGTAACTTGCACTTGATTTGTGCTGCTTCCACTTTTTGTTTCCAACTTTTGTTCGGTTGCAGAGGTATATCTGCCACGTGGGATTCTACGATTTGTTGTATTTCTTTGCTTTACTTTGCAGATCTGATTTGAAATTGCTAGACCATTTTGTTGCGTTCCTATTAAACAACCACTGGAATGGCTTGGTTTACGGGATCAGTCAGCGATGCTGTGAAGCTATGCAAAGAGCGCTCCGGAGTTCTCTGCATCTTTGTGAGAGGTGATTAACAGCATCCATCATCCATTGGGCATTCCAGATTTAGATTCTACACATACAAATTATTCTGTTACTGTAATTCCGTTGTTGTTTGGTGGCGTATTCCGTGACGTAAAGTGTGTGTTGTGGTTGAAGATGCCAGTAACGAAGGACTGGACGGATATTTTGGAGAGAGCGACGTCAAAAACTTGAGCGAGAAGCCTGGCGTTGTTCTGCTGCGCATTATCCAGGGCAGCAATGAATATGAAATGCTAAATTCCGTTTGTAAGTGGCACTTCAAAAGGATGATACGGGCTGTGAATATACGAATTACGAATTCGTTCTTGATTCGTTGTCACAGTTTGTTCAGGCGTTTGTGGCAGTGTTGGTAAGAGTTTTTGCTGTGCTGGTTATCTAGATCCCGTCACGGCCGTGCCTATGCTGCAGTTCATCGATGGTGCAACGGGACGACTCCTGTTTTCGGTTTCTCCCAAGAACAAGGACGATGTTGTTAACGGCATGCGGGAGGGCATTGAGGTAGACATTAAATTTCGAAAAATTTGAAACTATGCCTTACTGTGATACTCAACATTGATCGCTCAGTTTGAGTGTGTAAAGTTAAAAAATGAACAGTTTGCTTAATTTGGTAATTTGCCGTGTAACAATTCAATTTGATTGCTCCATTATGTTGAAAAAATGATTAATAAGCTTTTAAACTGTACGCTGTAATACGTAAAACGTTTAAGCAGCTGTAGTACTGAAGCGTCGATCGCGTGTATTCGAGGAACGTGAATATTAAGTGGTCGTATTAATAGTTAGTTTAGTCGTATTAATAGAACCCTCGAGTTGAATATTCACTGCTAATATAAAAGAAATATTTGATTTATGTAAAAATCTTATTTCTGCTTCGACTGTATAACTGATTTAATTTAATTTATCTGTTAATTTTTTCCGTCTTGATTTCCATTTTTTGGTTTTTCTGCTTGCCGTTAGACCTGGAATCGCCAGCGCGGTGTGCCACCGACAGCGCCTCTGGTGGCAGCAGCGGCCGCAACGCCCACGGTTGTCCGATTAGCACCGGAGTCGCAGACTTCGCAGAATCAACCGTCGGAGAGTACTTCTGATTCCGCTGCATCGCAAGATGATCTCGATGCTCGAATTGCTCGGTAAGCCACGATAGCAAAATGGTAGTGTTCAACCTTTAGATGGTGTGTTGTACATCGTTAGCTGTTGTTTGTTATCTGGTTCAAGAGTTTTTTCCCGTAAATGTTTAGAGCTCACGCCAAGGCAGCGGAAATCCGTAAACGCAAGGAAAAGGAAGTCGAGGAAGAGCAGCGTCAGAAAGAAGCACAACGTCGTCAGGATCAGAAGCTCATGGCCGAAGCCGAGCGCCAGCGTAAAGTCAACGAAGCCGAACAGGTCCGTAAAGATCTGGCCAAAGAGAAGCGGGACGACGAGGTGTACCGCCAGAAGATTCTAGCGCAGTTGAAGCAGGACCAAGAAGAACGCCACCGCCGTGATGCCGAAGCCAAGGGCGCAGCGCCGCCATCACCACCCGCTCCGGTGCAGAGCCCCGTCAAGGAAACACCGTCCACATCCTCCGGTATCGATTATACCAAATCGAAAATTCAGTTCCGCTACGAGACCGCGGAAGGCATGCGGACCTTCGTGGGAACGTTCGAGGCCACGGATCCGCTGCTGGAAGCCTTTGAATTCGCTCGAAAAGAGACGGGATTGCGGGGAGAAATCGGATTTCTTCAGATGTACCCGCGGAAGGAGTTCACGAAACAGGATGCCAAGTCGACATTGCGGTTATTGGGGCTGGTACCGAATGGTGTACTGATCGTTGTGCCTGCGGTAAGAGTTGGCTTTTTCGTAAATTTTGATTCCTCTGTTGCATGTATTATTGTGCTGCCTGTGATAAGATTTAAATTGTACGCAGTTTTATCTGTTTATGCTTGCAACGCGTTTGTGATTGCTCTATCGTTGAGTTTTTCCAGGATGCGGCGAAGCGCGGAATTGTTGCTCAGCCTTCCAATGGGTTCATTCAGAATTTAATGGCGAACATCTTGTTCTTGTTGAAACTGCCCGTTCAGGCTTTGAATTATCTTGTGGCTCTTTTGTTTCCACCACGGAGAGATGATTCGCCTTTCGCCGGAGGGTGCGTGTAACTTATTCGTTGGTTTAGTGTAAACAGAATACTTGTACTGTATGTTTAATAAAAGCGCTCCATTAGTGTTACTCTCGGGCTAAATACTTCTTACTTCCGTCGTCTTTGAAGCGATAACGGATAGACTTTTGAAAGTACAATCGATTGCGAGCTTGTGTTGACAGGCAGCGCATTGAGGCTGATTGACCGCTGTAGCCAACTTGTGCATCCATTATTTATCCACAATGTTCTTTCCAATCTTTGCAGCGATAATACTCGAAGAGGACCAGCCGGCGTACAAGGGAATCGTGGCAATGACAATCTCCGTCGGCGTCATCCATCGGATAATGCGACGTATAATGGAAATTCCACACAGCAGATGTGATGTGAAAATTTGGAATTCACATGCTTTTTAGTCAGTTCAAGTTGAATGTGTTTTTTGCGACGATTTTGTCTTTTTGAGTTGCGCACTGGTTTTTTATAGAAATGATTTCAGACTTGCGTTGTCGGCAGTACGAAGTAGAGATGGTGCATCACTAAATTTTCTTTTAAAGCACTTAGCATTCTTCATAGTTCTATCGGTGCACTATGCATTGGCCCGTTAGTGCTCCGTACAACATACAGCCATTAAGTTTGGTTCTCCAATAAAAAGGTTTTGCGCGGCATGCCTCGCCACTGATTACTCATAACTGGCTACTTGTGAACTCCAGAAGTGTTTATTTTCAGTCATCTTCATCTTCCAACGGCTGTGGTCATTCAAATATTTCGAGACGCCGATATGTACGCATTACAAAAAGATGCCCTTAGCAGTAAAAAGTAATAATATAAAACGTTCAATAATTGAGTAGCATATCACCAAAACTTTGAACCACAAATAAAGATTCCAACGAAAGCCTAACTTTGACAGCATTTGTAAAAGATCCATATTTGATACTGAACAAAAGGGAACTAATTGTGAGCCATGTCGAATCCATTAAATCATTCATACTTTACGACGTTTTTTGGGCGCTGGCCGACCAGAGGCTCCCTTGGACTTCGCTGACCCTACAAAAACCGAATTCTAATTATCTCAAATAGGGCAACAAACAAGTTGCGACTTAACATTCGCAATTAGTACACTGTATAAGTGCAGCATGTATTGTATATGTAAGTACATTGTTATTACCTTTCTTGGATTTTTTCGGTTTTTCATCGTCGGAATCGTCACAGTTGTCTCCCGGCAACAGGTCCTCTTCATCGTCCCATTCCTCATCCGACGCAGATTTCTTATTTTTCTTCGCACCATTCTTAGCATACTTTTCTTCGATTTTATCCAAAAAATTGGCTCCGCGCGCTTCTTGTCGGTCTAAAATCGCTTTCCGCAGTTCAGCCATTCCGTCGTCGCCGCCGGCCTTTTCAGTATCCCGCTTTTTGGTGATCTTTTCTGCCGCCTTGGCTTCCTTTTCTAACTAAAAAACAACAAAATAACCTTCCATCACTTTTTACAAAGCATCGTCACTAATTTCTACAAAACCTCTAACTGCAAAGACAAATAAAACAAACATAAATAAACATCTTGCAGCCAGCAAGAAACACCAACAAGAACATTCAAGTTGAAATCGACAAAAAAAAATTTGTGAAATATCAATAAACACAAAGCTCGCATTTTTAACGCCCAGTTAATCAAAATGACATTACACACCATTAATAACTATAGCAATACTAAAAGAGACATTCAGGTTTTCGCAATTTTCCCAGGTGTCTGCTCATTAAAATAAATTATTACACCACTGAATTATTTCGGGGAAAAATCGAAGTTAATGAGAAATATTATCATACTACCAACTAGCATCAAGTAGTAAGTAAGTACTAACTACCAGTACTGACTTTTACGGTGCAACTTACCCGTTTACGACGGCGTTCCTTCTTCTTCGGATCCTCCTTGGTGAACGTCTTATAGTCCTTGACTTTCCCGTCCTTGATGGCCTGGTTGATGATGGTGTGAAAGTGCTCTTCCCGCTGGAAGTCGTATCCCATAAGGCACTCCATGATTTTGTCCATATCACCCTTAAAACGCTCATAATACACCAGAAGGTCGTTTTGTTCCTCCTCCGAACCTAAAATATATGCAACTGAAATTTAACCACGCGAACAGCAACTGCATGCTCCGGAATGTACTTAGTGCAACACAACGCCATAATTGCCTTAGAATTAATGACTTCCAAAAACTTAAAACCAGAATTTCTCGATATGGTATTTTTGACTCTGATTAATCACTATAAAATATCTGTCAAAAATTATAGCAGGCCTGAGGCCTATTTCAAATAGTGATCTACTGCGAAAAAGGCGCGTGCCAGTACCTGTATACTCCTGAATAAATGCATCGATATCTTCGGTCGTCACTTCGGGGAACATATCGCGATAGTAGGCATACCAATCGCGATCCGTGTCGGAAACCAGCTCGTCATCGACGACTCCTGCGCAAAGCTGAATATCTACAACTGTACAGTGTATGCTTGACTGAAGCAGTACCATTTCTGTCGTAGCGTCTCCGTTTCTGCTTATCCGACAAGATAGAATAAGCCTTCCCAACGACCTGGAATTTCACGGTGGCAGACTCCTTATCCTCTTCAGCCACGCGATCCGGATGGACTGCCAGGGAGATCTTACGGTAGGCGCGCTTTACTGCAGAAAATCCGAAATGACAAATACCCGAATAAACATGCGTGCAGATGGGGAAAACATACGGTCTTCATCCGTAGCAGTTTTCGGAATGTTGAAGAGCTCATAAAGATCGTTCGTGTTGAAGTACTTTAGCAGCTCTTTCGTCAAGGTCCCCATTGCGAAAGTTAGGAGTACGAGTTCGTGGGAAAATACAACCAAGGAGTACCACAACAATCTCGGGAATGGAAACGATAACTTTACAAAACCCGCTTACACCGTCAATTCTCTTGACAGAATTTAACAATAGCAAAACAAAGTTATACTCAAACTGAAACAGCGAAATACACAGCTCAGCTGACAGAGCGAAATAAATCCAAATTAAAGCACCCTGTCGATTTTTCGCGCGAAAATTTTGACACCAAGCAAGGCACAGCAAGCGTGACGAGGTGTGTCGCGAATCGTAAGGGGGTGGTGGGGCGTGAGGCTAACAAAGTAGTAATTTGAGGCAGGCGCCATGAAATCATATTCATATTTTTATGCGCGCCATGAAATCATATTCAACACACACGTATGTGTATTAGTACGTATGGGTGCACTGTACAGTGCCGCATACCGTCAGCAGACTTCAGGCTATCGTTTTCATTTCGTATGTATCTGATAATGCTAAACAAATGTACTTTAAAACTGCGTTATTAACATCGCATAGTGTGGGAAAAATATTTACTAATGTACGCATTTGCATTCTACACCGATCCACGCGGCTTTAGAGTTTAGACCGATTTGTACATGTAGCACTGTCGCCGCGGAAAGGTCACTTCTAAGCCGCAGCGGACGTGTGTTGCGTAACATCACGGAGAAGGCATAGAAAGCACACTTGTTTGTTCGTCTTTGGCAGCGTTCACGTTTGTGTTTTATTGTAACTTTAAGTATTTGAAGACGAATTAACACTGAATATCCACAGCGTTTACCTACTCTAGGCGGTTAATCGCTCGTGTGGTTCTTAAGTTCGTACGTCGGAGATCTAAGTAAACCTTGGGAAACTGAAGTAAGTAATAACATTACGAATAACTGAAAATCAAGCGAAGCGCAGTGGTCAGTTACCAGAAATGTGCCAACCAAACAAAAATAAGACACCTTCGTCGATCGGTCATCGATGTTCCCTCTGCAGATATGTGCTTAGTTGCTTATCCTCTCTCCTTAATTTTCCATTTTCACTTCTCGCTATCGTGGAAAACACGTACACCTAAAAACTCTTAATTATTCCCGAGCAAATTGTTGGCAAATGACTGCGCAGTTGGCTACCAATTTCCGTTTGTGTGAACCGTTGTCACGACTCAAGATAGCCCGAAATTGCTCAGTGCACCACCGATCTATCTATCATCGAGCAATTTCCGATCTAATGATCCCGGCAACGGCACAGAGACCGGACACGATGGCATTCAATTAGAGAACCTGCCTCCTTCTGTAATTAAGCTCCTGCTGCAAAACTGACAATTGTCTTGGATGTAGCAGTGTTTCCTTTCCTTTGCACCATCCCGCCGGTACAAAAGGCCGGGAGAAGTTGCAGGAAAAGAATTCATCTGTTCAATACATCAACGTCATTGCTCATCAGAGCCAATCCATCATCGTCCAGCAGCTTGAATACCAATTGTGCACAAGCGCGATGAGAAGGACAGCTCTTCTAATATGATGGCATATCTGCGCGAATAAGGCACTCATTATCGCTCAGCATTCTCTGCACTGCACACCACAAATGAGCTCCTTGGCCGAGGCTGTAACAACGCATTGGGGCTACCTAATTGATGAGGATGAAGAGAGCGAGCAAACACTTATTTCCATTTAATTGCTTCGGATCGAGGCATTAATGTCGCCCGGATCGCTTTCCAAGCAACGCCTCGGCTCAATTTCCCCAGCTGGCTGTGTGCTGGCGCTGCTGTGTCGCATCCTCGTGCAAATAACGCTTATCTTGACCATTATTAACACTGTTTACCACTAGAGAAAGGCAGAATGGGAGAAATCTATCCTCACTGTTGCAATTTCCTTCCCAAATGAGTTTGCATAACAATTATTCTAACCCCGGTTTATTGCTAAAGTTTTTGCGCAATCTGAATCACAAAGTCACTCTTTGTCGCACTCTTGTGAAATGCAGTGGTGTAATGCTGGCGGCTAAACAGTGTAAGCACATATTGCCTATTGCATCACAAACGCAATGGACATTGTCCGTTCACCTTTACCGAACCGCCAGCAAACGAAATCACCGGCGATAGCCAATGCTCAATTATTCTGGAGTACTTCGCCAAGAAAACTTTACAATTTACGTAGCTTGGTAAACAGACCGCTATATTCCGGGATAGCTTTTACCGTCCTAAAGTTGTCGTGCTAAACAGTAAATCTTATGGGTTATTGTAATTTTATGTAAATGGCCAGTGCGTCGTTGACTTCTCTGATGCATTTGCATATTTGTGCATAGTTGGCGATTTCGCTGTGGCCACCCAAGCAATTGGTCGCGATAAGCTGGGATAATTGCGGCTGAGAATTGCCGGGTTGGGTGCATCACAAAGGGGGAGTGCATTGTCGGCAAGGGATTACCTACTTGACGGATAATGTGCCGAGGCCCTAAATAAGCGCGAGGTGAGATGGATGGATCGGAGTTTTGGATATCATATGCGGCTGACTCCGCACCGCACAAAACCTCCATTTACATGATCAGCTTTCGATAAACGACTTTTGCCGGCTCACCGTCGCTTTAATTGTAGGCCACTTTCAGTTCAGGACAATTGACGTGGAAGTGATCCGTTTGACCGGCGCAGGACAACAGAGAAACAATCCTATTAACGGCAGCCGTTCATTTTCCTAATCAGTCGGGAGATCCTTAGTCTTCTTATTTTTCTTATCAACACAAGGTATTCAGGCGGCATAATTCAAAATAAACGAACGCGCTTATGAATGCCGCCTACACACCCCACTATTTCATGTGAAAACGTCCCAGACGTTACTGCTTTTTAGAGGTTTCACGTACGGGAGTTGCTGAAATTGATTAAACTCGAAAACGGGCTGATTATCATACTGTGCAATGTGCATGGCTGTGACAATACTATGGATTTTAAAACGAGCTCAAAATTATGATTTGTAATGGAAATTCAATATATTGTTACTTGATGTACTAAATTATCCAATATAAAATGTACGAGAAAGAGAATCATTGAAAACTGTTAGCACTCGTACGTGTTGTGAGCATATTATCGATTTCACCGGATTAATATTTAATCAATGTGAACGAAGCAGATACAGTAAATGGATGTAATTACGGCTGACCAGCCAGTGAGAAAATTTATGGCCGTGTTTTTCCACCGCGTTTACATAAACACGGAAATTGAGCGCATTTCGGAAACGCCCTTCTGATGTTCACTGGGTGAAAATTCGACCATTAACACACATACTGCCACTTAGCTGACTAATGAACAATTTTATTCAATGGAGATCGATGAGTTTCCGCAGAAGGCAAAATTAAATAGATTTATACGTATTCATATAGTATAAAGTGATAATTTTCCTGGAGGTTAAAATTTTATGATATTATATCTATAGATTTTATATCTGCAGCTATACATGCTACCAAACAGCCGGCATGGAGCTAGCGCTAAATTACATAGAAGTATCTTTTTTTGCAGCTGCTTGCCAGCTCTAAACGTTTTGCAATTATTAACATATTTTACTTTTGAACATATCGCATCTTTCTTGATGCTGTTAAATACACAAGCAAGTATATTAGCTTGGTGCTAAAAACGATAGCTAACTCAAAATTACTGAGCAATAAAAAATTGTTAAATGAGATGATACATAAAAGCGTACATAATACATATTTTTCGGTAGCCACAGTTACGCGGTTAAAGTATTCAAGTAATTTGCAGCTCGTGCAATTTTTAACCGGAATTTGTCTATGCCTTGTATAGAACTGGTTTTTTTTATAAATAGCTGCGTATAATGCGGTTAAGAATGCGTGCATACCGTTTCCGGATACTTAATAAGCCGTGTTTGTGCAAGGTAGCCAGTGAAGCACTTCTGCTCGCTAAAATTGTTCTAATCCCAAATCAGAATGTGTACAATACAAAGTTCAAAGCCAAAGCGGCGTATATCCTTTGTATGGAGACTGTGTAGCAATTGAATTTACAGACTTTCCGGATGATTTGATCATGATGATAGTGGCAGTGATACGTTTTTCATGGCATCCATAATTAAATCGTCAGGTCACACATCTGATCATCCGGTTCCGCACCATTTCCTCGGCTATATAATCTGATACATTTTACTGCTTCCTATTTTTGTCCCAGCTCTGTAACTGTAGATAACATGGGCTTGTTATGGCTGTGTGGATACAGTAGCCGCCCGTGCTCGCGCCGCTGCACCATTTTAACTGTTTGCAGAGTGCCGAACACACGTTGCCTTTATGGCCGGGGAAAACGCAATAAGGACGATTGCCCATTTGGCTCATGATTACGATTTTCTGGCTAAATAGTCAATTAAGCGGAAATTTGCCAATTGTCGTCTAATGCTTTCATTAGGGTCCCGTTGAGGTCACATAAACAACCATCACACTGCGGCTGCGCAGTGGGCATCGGATCTAATATATTTTAATTACAACATTATCGCTTACAAGCGTCCTCATTTGTACGCTGTTAACGCTATGCACTTTTTAATCAGATCAACCTGCTGTTATTGGTTATGTATGGTCTATTTAATTCTGCATGCGAAGCAGAAGAAACCACTTGTGCAAAATATTTCATTTACATAATATTTTGCTACGACCGGGTTAAACTTCCTTAATACATAAAAACATATGATAAAATAAAAGAATGTGGAGAAATTTGAGCAATTAAGCAAAATTTTGAGAAAGAAAGCATATTATTAAGACCAAATCAATGCTAGTCGCAAAATGTTTATAGAAGTATCGAAAAATTAAAGACATGTTGAAAATTCATTTTTAAGAAAACATTCCGCATTACTTTGTGATGGAGGTTTTGTCCTATTTGAGTTTGTTTTTTCCTCAGATATTATGTGCATAGATGAGTGTCGCTCTTGCAAGGAAATTGTACAAATTTGTACAACATGCGTTTGAGTTTTATTGTGTACTGTGGTTATCTTCGTAAACACATACAACAAACAAGGCATACTTCTATGATTGGACAGAAATGCCGGTACCTATACGTTAACGTGAAGCGCTAGAGTTACTCGTACTTACATTTATTTTCTGAGGTTTATTTATGTAATTATCGATGTTTTAGATACTGCTTGATAAGTGCTGGTGGTGAACTTTGAAATCGGTTTGATCAATAAAGCGTATGATTGCATTTTTATCCGTATAAGCCGGGGCATTAATATCGTCTTTGTACTAATCGTATCGATTAAGGAAAATGTGAACTACATGATGATGATCGCGGGGGGATCTGGAAAATGGGTTTCACTTTTCAAGATGATATGTGTATCACATTTGGCGATAATCGTCTCGCCTTTTCAATCCCATTAAACACATTCATCATGATTAACAACGATTGATTACGTTGGTGGAGTTTAGCCGCGTTCCGACTGGCCAATGACAGACGCGAATGTTGTGCCGGTTAAGTGTGTGCGATGCCATTGCCGACCGGGAAAATAATGCCGGATAACGACGTTGTATCCATTTCATAAATAAGCAAAATTATCCCCTACCAATAGCGCCTTCGTTTAATCACTGGATATGTACACCACAATGACACATGCAACGCTCACAACTGATCATTGAGCATTCATCCGAAGCATTACATGCTGGGTAAACTGTCGAGCACAGGATATTACCCTTCGCGCAACTTTTGCACGCAGATATCAACCGGAATTAACTACATCCGGCGGAATTACTTATTCTACACGAAATTGTTGCTGGCAGCGTTTCCTACCGCGTGGAATTATTGCCAGCCATGAACTTATATCCGTATTCTTCATCGAACCATTCATAGTTATAAACTGCTTTAGGTAAAAATACTGGGAAGTTTGACTAATGGAAGAAAATGAAAGTGGGTATACTTGGCATTACTTGCACCCTGCTCACTTGCTTTCTGCGGTACAAAAAACTGAAAAAAGGATAGCAGAATTAGTTGTGTAGAGTCATTACAGAATGAATGTTGTTTTTCCATAAAATTATACGTACACACGTGCTTCTGTACGAATTTTTATCGTGCGTAGCCCAAGTTTAAGGTTTATTTTTGAAAAATTTGTTATTGAATACTACTGCAGTTTGTATTGATTACTGCAGTTTCGTAGTTATTTTGCACAGAAGAGGTAAATCCCAATTGAAAAATATTTTGTGTTTTTTATGAAGGCACCGAAATTGTAATTGGTGTCTTGAGCATCTGTTACATATGCGATCGGGTGTTATTGCTTTCACACCATCGGCAAGGCCAATAAATTAGCCATGCAAAGAAAGGAATGATCCTTTCCGCATTTATGGGCATTCCATGATGGAATGGTGCATTTGCCGGAAGAGAGCGGCGAGAGAACGCTGGTCATAGAAGTCTAGCCAGTTTCTTAATGATCATGGCAATTTGGGAAACACATTTGCCGGGGCTAATTTGCAGCAGCCAACGCACTAAGCATATTTTGATGACTACTTGGGAACAGGTTGGTAATCAAAGAGATGCAAAGAAGAACGACGATGCCCACATGTTCCTACTTGTCAGGAAATATAGTGGATATGGATGCCCCATCGCCAGGCGCTTTCAAGCGGAGAATGATGAATGAGCTGTTGTATGCGACAGCCACATCCTCCCAATCAGTCCAGTCCAATCATGCGTCGAGACCGGCTCTGTCACACCGACACATCAACGAATGACTTTGACGGTGTACGTGCCTTCGCTCCCGTTAATTTCAGAACGATCCACATACTTTTGAGCTGTTTTTTTTATTTTATAGAAATTTGTCTTCATTAAATTAATTTTCAGTTTCTCAGTGAGCGAAAAAGTAGGCAAAAATCACTGGATAATTTGTCGGCAGTTCGTTGATAGCCTGATCGATCATTGCTTATTACATACGTGTAATTCGAGAAAGACGGATGAGTACCAGCAGCGGGCCAGACTCCACCTCTCAATTTAGCAGCAGTTGATTTAGAACTCCACGTACAAGCCCAGAACGCAGCGTTATAACGGCAGTCAAAACCGGCAATCACACATTCCCTTTCTCTGCTCGCGCGTGCGCCTCAAGTTGAACCCGCCGAGTGGAAATTTGCCAAAAGAAGTTGGTGGAAAATTTGTAGTTTGTGCCGCGACAGTATACGGATAAATTGATACCCCTATCACTTTCCAGCCCTGCATGCGCCGGCTAATATTCCGCGTGCACACCGCTCCGGGTGAATGATGGTCACTTCCGCCTGTCAGCTCAATATGCAACGGTCCATTTTTTCCAGTATCGAAGCGCTGGCTACCGGCGCTACCGCCAATTCCCAATCACCTGCACTGAACAATCAATACGCCTATGCGGGGAATATGTTGAATCAGTATGCGGCAATGATGGGATTACCTGGCAGTGTACCCAGTGATTATTATGCCCAGATGCAGTTATTGGATGCCAGAAATTTATGGATGCAGATGAATCCGGGTTATCAGCATTTATTGCAGCAGTACCACAAACAAGTCGGTCATAATGTGCCATCTCACAATGGGTATAATCACTGCGCCGGTGAAAAAACTGTGGAAATTAAACCGGAGGAACCCGATCGAAAGTCATTCACACCCCAACAAGGTATATATAAAACTGGATGATGCTAGCATAGGTGATTGGCATGCACAAAACTGTTATAAAATCTGTTATTATTCTGTCTTGGAGTAGGTTTTTAATTATTGGTATAAATTTGTGAACTGTTATTGCTATCTACTTATCTTTAATTTTAAGAGTGACCAATCAAATAAGTTGACTGTGCAAATTTAGCTAGAACCACGGCCTGTTAATATACCACATCACGTAGACGGCCAGCAGTCAAAATATTTGGGGGCTTTCAGCTTAGTTTATGCGATCAAAGAGTCATAGACCGTAATATGCAATGTCAAAAAATTATAGACTAGTTTTGTATTATTAATTTTTGTAGTAGTTGTTGACGACCGGAAGAATACGAATTCTAAACTGACCATTCACCAGTGTGTTTTTCTGGTGCTTACTGTGTATTTTTTATTAAAGCTGAAGGTAGTCGATGCGAAAACATCGCTTAACTTCTTTAAATGTCATCATGACTTCTGCAAATATTTCAGAAATTGAACTACAATATAATTATAGAGTAGTTTAGGCTGACCATTCTGATATTGTCTGATTACTTTATTATTTTGTACAAGAAACTAGAAACTGGAAAAATCTGCGCGCCCTTAATGAATCGCTAATCGGTTTTTCATTCGTACACCGTATACTGGTGATGTTATACTTACAAGTTTTCCATCAGAGTTACTGTACTAGTAAAATACATAATTACATGTTCCGTAATATTCATAATTATAATTAATGACATCAACTGGGGTCAAATCAATCCTTTAAAAAAACCATTGTCAATAAACTGTTGGCTTGCATAACGACACTGACAAAGTTTTGTTTGGGTTACGCACTTTAGCTGCCGTTGAGCATTCTCCGCGTGACGAGACAGATTCCACTCCAACACCTCCGGATCATGAACGAATGTCCGAGACGTTATCGGATGACGGTGACAGCCTGCCGAACGGTTCCAATCCCCCGGAGACTCCTTCCGATCCTGGTCGGCCGTTGAATGGCAAAAAGCAGCGCAGACGCCGTACGGCATTTACCAGCGAACAGCTTCTTGCTCTCGATGGCGAATTCAATGCAAAGAAATACCTTAACCTCACGGAGCGGGCCGAAATCGCTAAGAATCTTCGTTTGAGCGAAGTACAAGTGAAAATCTGGTAAGTGACACTGTAACACTACACAATTTCTTAAAGTATTTATACTGTACTTCCTTATGTATGCTGTAGCCTATTTTCAGTATATGGCGCAATTGCGTAAAACGGGCGACAACTACAAAAATTACTAAGAGATCAAACGGAAAAAAAAACTTGGTTTTTCATGGCTGTAAATCTTTTTTTAAAAGTTCGATAGGAAAACCACAAATGCAAAAAATTCAAACCTGTTTTATGACAAAAATAGAATTCGAACGAACTTTGTAAAGCATGCAGCATCAACCTGCGTGACTTTTTCTGGGTATGGAAGATTTACTGCCGGCTAATCTCCTCATACTTCACAGCGGTGCAAATCTGTGTAACTTAATCATGACCGTGTAGTCGCGTACTGCTGAATGGTCAGGGGAATTGGGGGAATTTTGAAGAGTGAGCGCAATTAAGTGTTGACTTTTTGATCAGGTTCCAGAACAAACGCGCCAAGTGGAAGCGGACGAGGGCGCAGAACAGTGGTCTGAACGGACACAGCACTGCCGCAGCCGGCCAACTGGCACTGATGTCTGTGGCCGCGCATTCACAGTCCGGCGGCAGTCCGCATGGCCCGCAGTCGCAGCAGCCACACCATACCCATCAGCGCCATCATCACAATACGCCGGATCGGCCCAAAATTGTCGTTCCCATCCCTGTGCATGTTAATCGTTTCACGATGCGCGGTCAACACCATTCGACTAACACCGAGAACAAACCGATAAACACCAGCGTTAAGAATAATTGATCTCTCCCCGTCAAATTAAATCTCTTGAGCAAAAAGTTTGGATCGGAGGTCATTAATGGTGACCTGTGAAATCTTCGCTGTTCTTAAACTTTTCAGACATTCCTCATTTATCTCATCAGAATTGGTTCCTTTATCTACCATGGTAAATAAAGCATTGTAATGCTGTCTATTTGTACAGTTTAAATTTGTATTTACTAGCTTATTGATTAAAAAGCGAATAAGCACAACACGATACAAGCAACCGGTAGATCTGATTTGGTTAAGCTGACTTCTACGTATCTTTTTGTGTAGAATCATAGTGTCAAGGAAAAGCAACTGGTTTTTTTGGTTCTATTAACATGCATAGCAGAACACCATCACCACATAAGTTGGCCGTAAACAGAAAAGGATATTGATATAGGTTTCAGATATGTATAAAGTATACTCGTGTTTGACTTTCAGATACGTCAATTAAGCGGAGGCAGCAATATAACCAATATTGATGTTAATTTATTTGTTTCACTTTATGAGTAGGTAGAATTTTTATGGTTGGTAAAACTGCTAAGGTATAAATGGCCGTTAATTACAGAGCAACAAGAATATTGAAACTACCGCATTTAACCTGCCATTATTATGCAGGTAGCTAATGCGCCTGGCGATTAGTTTATGATCCCGCATTGATAGTCACGATTGAAAAGTTTGACTGCGCCCAGTCGCTCCATAATAGCCATGTTCCAGCGCGGTGTCAGTATATGCTGGTGCCCGGGCGATAAGGCTATTTTCATCAATGCAGGGAGCGCGGTCTCATGCAAAGCGTTTTGTTATTCTGTTAATTGATCCTGATGACTTTTGCTATTGTAGCGACCATCTGATACCATCATTAGCCCGGTCCTCTCTCTCTTCCTTTCTCCCTCGCTCCTCTAACAAGCGAAATTTGCCGGGTCGCATAGGGCGACATGCCGGCGGAGGCCGGAACTTAATCGCTTTTCGGGCCCGGCGCATATATATATTCCCCTCTGACTAATTTACACAAGTGGCGTAAATATAGCCATCCGTCATTTGCTCACTGTAATGACCATCCAACGCCCGCTACAGCCGGCATACTAAATCATTACCACATGCGCTGATAATTACCAATCGGGGGATAGATGTGCGGGTATCGCTTTACATGCAGCACGCCGCGGCAGAGAATGTGCCGCTTGTTTATATATTACGCGGCGTCCCTGGCCCCCCAGCAATTATATATACAGTGTCCACAAAAGGGAAATGTTGACAATGGAAGCGGGATCCTTTGGTTCAGGGGTTGCTTAAGTATATGCTTGGGTGATGTAATCAGCCGTCTTCCGATGCGGACTGAATAGAAGGGACGGGACAGTTTGTTCAAAGATAATTCGATTAACGAACAATAGGACGAGTCTGTGAGGTTAGCCGCGCCGCGCTGTCGTCCAGGCTAATTAACCAGCATCCAAATGCATCAAGGCTAAAGTGGAAATCAAATATTTTTCCATCGGTAGACAATTGGCACCGACGCTCCGACACCGCCAATTATCCGCAATGGACGACAAATTTTCAACGAGGATATTAACTTGGTTGTGCAGCAGGTGTTAAATGAAGGCAGATATTTCTCCGACCCAATTTTGTTGTTGCAGTACTATTCCACCGCTGGCGGAAAATTTAGTGAGTTTTTACTTTTTTACTAATGGTAAATTTCAAGGAGTTGTATAACAAAGTCCACCTCTGAAGCTATGCTGCATTTAATGTAAGTGGTTTGTAAAACGTTTCGTAACTATAAAGTTTTAAAACCGCAACACTTTTCAGTTTCATTATGTCATTATTTCATTACCATATAGCTGCATAGAAACAGAATACTTGCTACACAGATGGGAATTTTTTACTGCACTGTACCCAGTGGTCATTCAATTTTTAACCATGTGCAAAAATATAGATAATATGTACGTATTGCTGAAATAAAGCCCAGTGCTTACCAAGCACGCATTCCCTTTAATAAACGTTTTGCGAAACATGCATGTGTATACCACAATGGAAATATTTCGTTTTACGAAACATATTGGACTGAAGGCAATACATCGCTTCCACCGATATGGTACGGCACAAAAGTTCTGTGCTTATTTTCCTTGATGGTGCGACCTGAGATCAAAAAAGTTGCTGATGCAATGGTATAGCGTGTACAGACATACTACCAGTGCACCACATCATGATTGCGCAATAAAATTCGTGACGGTGAAGATTTGACACTGGCTCATAGAGACCTATGCTATAACTTAATTCTTCAAAAATTCATAACTTAGTTGAATTTTGCGTTAATTTTTTGTGAACATGCTCGAAAAATAAAGAATAATACCTACTATTAGGCAAAACGATTATCTTTCTGTTTCCGTCTTAAGGTTTGGCACTGAGAACATACCTAGTTAGCATAGCCGCCTACGAGAAATCTTTAAATCAAATTAAATGGCTTCTCCGTAGACAACCATGCTAAATACAAAGACACATAGTGCGCAACGCTAAAAGAAAATCGAAATTACATTTGTCCTGCCTTCTATTATAAATTATTCTTTATTTTTCAAGCATATTCACAAAAAATTAACGCAAAAATTAACTAAGTTATGAATTTTTGAAGAATTAAGTTATAGCATAGGTCTCTATGAGCCAGTGTCAAATCTTCACCGTCACGAATTTTATTGCGCAATCATGATGTGGTGCACTGGTAGTATGTCTGTACACGTATAGCCTGCGCTTGCGAATCTCTGATAGCTGCAATAATTATGTTGGAATCCATACAGAGGAGGTAAATGTTGGTTTAAGGCAGTGCAATTTTATTTTCATGGTGGGAAATTCTTCATGCATTGATAGCACAAAAACAGAAAATCAGGCCAATTTACAACTCCCGTTCCCGGGATGGTTACAGGCTCGGCGATCACTTTACAGTGTGGTGATGCAATAACTTGCAAATTTGATCGTATTGTGTCCTCCATTAAATGTAAATTTGTAGTTGTTGGCGAGATGGATGGAGGAAAAGCCGACAAAGAGCCGGGTGGATGCTAATAGTGGCTAGTTATTGTGGGGGTGCGCAATTCGCCGGATGCGGCGGCGAAGGGACACCAGTAGCTGGTGTGAGTATTGAGTAGTGTCACAAGTTGGGAAAAAGTAATAAAAGATCATTACAGCAGCCTATCAATTTCACAGGCTAATATCACCTAGTTAACATGGTAATTGCTCGACAAGGATGGATTGAAGGGGACTTTGAGAAGTTTGATTCTAAAGAGAAAGTTGAGAAACCAGTGCGAGGAATAAGCCGACCAAGAGAACGATTTTGCATAGAAGCAGAATATTTGCTACACAGATGGGAATTTTTTTACTGCACTGTACCCAGTGGTCATTCAAACTTCAAGCAAAGTCTTCAAGCATCAGTAACATCTCGGTTTCACATTATCCACTAACCATTAAATTAATAAGTATGATTAGTATGATAAGGTGTCCACTAAATTGCAGTCTGAACGATCTCATGTTTTCTATTCACTTAAAGTTTGTTTTTTAGCAATATTGGAGGTGATTTTGAGCTTCGGCATTTCACTAATGTGCTGCACGAGATACGATAAAAGACGCTTGGAAGCTGTTGCTAGCCGTTTCGGACACAGGATTTCGATGGGTACTAATAAACCCTGGGAATGGGAATTGGGAGTTGGTATTGGGAATTGGTACTGGGAATGGTACTGGTAATGGGAAAGACCCTAATACATGGGAATGGTATTTCATAATGGGAGTGGGAATGGGAAAACGAAAATTTTTATAAGAATGTCTCAGCCTTTATTGTCCTGTGGTTGGTACAATTCGAGATCGTCAATACATGTAGTTCACAATTTCACGAAAATAATCAAACAAAGTGCTACGTAATTGACAACAAGGCAACATTTTGGCGCCGCAAAAAGGGCAAGCCGACCTGCACATCACAAAGGGGCCTAAAAAAGAATGAAATAGCAAAATCTGATTGGAAAACTCCGCCCACTCCAAATGCCGATGGCGAATGGCAATTGCACAGTCTTTGATGGAATGAGAGGCCCCTCCTCCTCGATGTGAGGCACACGTCAGCATGGATGGAGGCACCGCGTCGTGTGCAAAACGCAAAAGGTGGAAAACAATGCTGCGTGTAATTTCTGGATGATGCAAAATCCAGGAGTCTTGGCTTACCGGATGTTGTTAACGTCCAAAGTAGGGAAAACAGCCAGATGCTTCTGCTTTATGGTGGGCCAGATATCCAACGGTAAACCGTTATTCCAACAGGGAGGCGTCGTATATCCAGCAGCCTGCTCTACAAATTGCAGGAAAAAAAGGAAGATGCAGAAGATATGCTTCCATAATGAATTTTCATTACCCGATGGGCAAACTCTAATTAAGAGCGCCGCGTTGAAGTGAAAAAACTCATACTTTGGCAAGGAAAAAACAATGGGAAAATAGCGAGAAGAGGGATACAGAAAAGTTCTAGATTTATTGGCCGTTCAAAAGCTGTGCAGGCCAAGACTGTGCAGGCCAAGGCTGATACATGTAGTTCACAATTTCACGAAAATAATCAAACAAAGTGCTAAGTAATTGACAACAAGGCAAATGATGAAGTCAAACTACTTTCTGGTATACTTTATAACGCGTATCATTAATGGGTGGCATAACAAAGCGGCGATTGCTTTGCTGTGCTAGGTCCTGCCCAATGCTTAACGGATATTCTATTAGTTTCTTTTAGTATGTACCAAAAATGACCGGTACCAAGTACCGGGTCACTTTTCTTAGCCTCTACTACAAAGATTTTGTTACAGTTATTATTTTTCTTGGGAAGATATTCAATTAATTTAGTACAATTTTTGGAGCAACATCCGTAGGAGTACCGTATGACACCTATCAAGAAGCTGCAAAAGCACTCCGACATTTAGGTGACGATGCCGTACGGAGTGCATGCTTAACCGAAGCGAGTCTGTCCAGTATACCGAAATCGTTAAAAGACATGTTCGCGTTAAGTGTTCGCGGTCATCGTTAAGGGACATTTTGTGTATTCCGCATTCCCCATACCGTCCGATCCTAACGGGCTTTTCGAATCGCATCAAGAGCAATTGATGGCAGACTGCCGGCAAATTTACTAGGAAGAGAAAAGCAAAAACAGGGCTCTATGGGACGTTGAGTGTGTCCCGATTCTAACCTGCGAAC